TTTTTTAAAAAATAATATCATATTATTTCATTAAGTAAAATATCATATTTATTCAAAAAGTGTGGTTTAATTAAATTGTCCGTATCCATATTATAGACCTTTTTAGGTGTTGTTTCACAAAATTTGAAAGGTTGAGTGTGAATTTTGATTTTACCTCAATGTCGAAATTTTGGCTCCAAATTTATAAGGTTTTGAAGAAATTGAGTTATAGACACTTTGAAGAAGAAAGATATGGAAAACGATAATTTTTTCACTCTTAAAAGCCTTTTTTTTTTCCCCATTTTTTTGTGTTACTTTTTTCTTTGTGTTTGGTTCACGTATTTGGTCCACTATTTTGAAGCCTTTTTCTATTTTTCTTGCACAGGTTATGGTGCGACTGAAAACAAGAGCGACGGGGAGGACTGACGAAGGATCAGACGACCAGACGAACCCTGCTGCTCGACACGGCGGCCCGCTGCTGGCGAAGATGGAGTCGCGCGGCTGAGGGGAAGGATGAAGGCGATTGATGGTTGCGATTTAGGGCTAAAGGGTTTGCTCGAGAAAAAGAGACTATGAGAGTTCTTTCTCCTTTTGAGGAGTTTGTTAGGTCTTTTGTTTGGTTGTTCTTGTGTTGGTTGGTTCTAGGCGATCCTTTGGATTCGTCCTCTCACTAGATTCGGCTTGTGAGCTGTCTTTTCGGCTTTTGGGCCGTTTCTGGATGTACATTTCTGGTTATTAATGAAATTTCTATCGTTTGGAAAAAAAAAAAAAGAACCTGCTATGGTCGGTGGGTGGAGAGAAATATTGGGCCAATCTCTTACAAAATTTGGGCCGAAAATCAAGAGCTTAAAGGCCAAAATAGATAAAAGGGCCGATAATACGCTTATAAAGGCTGAAAAGTTTTGCTAATAATAGGTCTCGATAAATTCTAAAAAATCGATAAGATTAAAATTGACGAAACCGAAATCAGGCTAAAAATGGCTACTAAAATAAATCGAATAAAATCAAATTGCTAATGAAGATTCGATAATTCGAATAAATTAAATAGACACTAACGTCTAATAAATTATTTTTCTTAATCGGATTAAATAGACACTAACGTCTAATAAATCCGAAGGACTTGTCGAGCTTAGAAGCTTTAAATGCAACTAACTGCATAAGTAAAATAAATATATGAGATGTCTTCTAATGTTCGACTGGGGCGCGACAAATTCCTAAGCACAAAATAATCCTAAGTCCTAAAAATCATCTCCCTTAGCCACACAAAATTTCGGCCCTTCAAGAACCGAGTGCCTTTCCTGGCGAGCCCTAGCCGCACGCCCTTAGACGAGCTCCCAGCCGCAACAGCCCTGGTCCGAGCTCCCAGCCACGCTCCCAGCTCCACCACGTGCGTCCCAAGTCCACAGCAGCTGCAGCGTGCGCGTCCCAGGCACCAACACCCGCAGCTCCCAGGCACCAGCGCCCAGCAGCTCCCAGCGTCCAGGCCCCCAGCTCCCAACAGATCCGCGCGTCTCCACTCCCTGCAGCGCCAGATCCAGCCCGCGCCAAGCAAGCCAAGCCACCTTCATCTTCCTTTTTCGTTTTTAAGTCCCTCAAGAGGTATATCTATAAATCCTCTCTCCTATGTCTTAGACATGAATTTTAAAGTATTTTAAAAATATAAAATCAAGAATAATGGTGCTAGAATGAGAGATCTAGATTTATTGCCTTTATTATGCTAAAATCATATCTTCAGCTATGCATGTCCAAAAATATTGATTTAAATTCCATAAATCTTAGAATATTGTGTAGATAATGTGGTTTAAATTTGAGAATTTTTGGAGTTCGTTTGCTATGTGAAGTAAAATTGTAGATCTAGATCTAAGATGACCATTTTATGTTGAACAAGTTATACATCTGATATTGCTACGATATTTTACCCAAACATCTTAAATATATTTCTAAGGTTAGTGTATTAAATTTGGGGATTTTTGGAGGTTGTTTGATATGGTTCAAAAATCGAGATTTAAAAGTTTTTGCTGAGGTTCATAGATCTAAAATCTTCATAAATCATGTTGAATTTGTTGGCATCTATGAGCGTCTCTTTATATACAAGTTACGAATTCAATAGCAAACGTAAACTTATGCGCAGCGGATCTAAAGGTTTGAGGTAGAAATCTTACGGCTTAAAAATTTCTGAATCTGATGGATTCGGGATGACTGGGAACAGCACACAAACGGAATTGGATCACACGAACAGAAAATGGGGTCGGCTCGTCGTGATCGTATCGGGTCGTGTGGTTGTCAGGCTCGCTGGCCGTGTCGCGTCCTTGCGATCGGGTGGCTGTGTGTCGCGGTTGCGATCGGCTCGTTCACGGCGGCTCTCCGGTGGGTCGTCGGGTCGGCGATCCTCGGCCTCCGAGTCGTGGGTCGTCGACTGTTGTGGAAGATCACCGGGTCTCGATTACCTATGTATCTTCTACTGTATTACTCAAACATCTCTTCAACTTGTACCAGTGGAGCAACAAGAAGAAGATAAAGTTCGAATGAAAACTGGGAGAGAGAGAGAGGCGCCGTGTACTTCACACGAGTCTAGCTGATCTATTCTCTTCTCGTGAGCTTAATGATGTATATATAGAGTTACAGTAGGGACCTTTAGGAGATTAGGAATAGGGCTCCTTAATTAATTGGACTAACTATGAGTCAAACTCACTCCTCCAATTAATTAAATAATATTATGAGCCACCAATATAATATTATTGCACTCCCTTTTTCCTAGCCCAAATTACATTTGAGACTCCAATTATAATTACTCGATTTACCTCCCCACATCTATACTTATATAAAAAGGCATCCTATTTACTAGAAATAGTAGGCAGAAAAATAAAAGGTAATTAATGTTTGCTGAAAATAGAATGACATTAATTACATATTTTTTTTGGTATTTATAGTCTTGACATTAAAAATTTATTATGGGATAAAAATCAGAACCGATTTTTTTTACCTTTATTGGAAAAGTCAAAGGTAAGTATCGATTTGTTTATATTATCAAATCATAAAAAGATATTAAATCCATATTGTAAAAAAAATAATTCATATAATTTTATAACAATTCTACTACACTATTTAACAGAATTCCTTTTTATTATATATTAAAATAATAATTAAATATTATATGGTGAACAATAATAAGTAAAAGTGTTATTTTCTCTTATACCAAGGGATAAATTTATATGCTAAAGTTAAATTTTTATTAGTATAAATATTTTACTAAGATAATATATTAATTATTTTACAAGCTAACCCTAACATGCTCATATTTAATGTTCTAGCTAAAAAAACAATGCTGGTTAAAAGATGTGGAAAAAACTTATAATAACCCTATTGTTTTTTAGACTTAAACGGACAAGACTGTGAAAATAACTCATTTAATATCTCTATCCCGTGGATCGCACGGGGTACGTACTTTTAAGATATAATGTTCATTAATTAATTCGATTACTGAAAATCAAGAATTAATTAATATATTATTATTTCACCGAAGCTAGCGCTCGTTCATAACATTATTATTATGCCGAAACTTAATCCACCTACAGGGTTTAGCATAACAATCCTTCATGAATTCACTCCGGGGACATCATCAAACTAACGCACACGGTGACCCTAAATATCCTAACAGCACATCCTACATACAACAATATTACCCAAAGCAGTAGGAATATTAATCCAGCAAACTGAACCTCACCCAAGTGAATCAAAGTAATATGTACTGCATTTATATGCCTGTTTAATATCTTACGGGTTAAGAGAACGCTATAATTAACCGAGGCCTAGTTCGTTTACGACGATTAGTATAAAACAAACTTCTCCTCTCTGGGACCTGTTCAATACATATATGTACTAGTGCAACTAATCAGTCAAGGCCAACTGTACACTACAACCGTTCGGATGGGTGTTCATTTCCATCTAGGTTGTGAATCACAATTATTGTTTCACAAATAACTGATAGAATGATCTTCTGTTCGCCTGATGACGACTCATTCTATCTAAGCGCAAAACAACAGAACATGCAACTTGTTTTATCTAACATATTGATAAAATGTTATTTACCTAATAAAACTTAAAGATGAGATGATTAACATGATAACTGGTGGTAATTATCTGATTTGCTGAATTTGAAGGATGAATATTGCATTAATCGTGTCTAATGATTTTTGTTCTAAAATTCAACCACACATGGTCCCAATCACGAGTTCGTCTACTAAAGAAGGGTGTCTCGTTTCAATTCGCTTTCATTTCTGTTTCTTTTTTTTTTTCTTTCAATTTTAAGCCATTAATTAGTTTCAGTTTTTCTTGAATTTTGGTTGAGCCCTTACTTAGTTTGAGTTTTTTCTTGAATTATGGTTGTGGTTGCATAAAGAAATAAAGGTGTTGTACCGTGATGTTTTTTCATGTTACTGAAGACTGAAGAGAGTTGCATATTGTCACAGTTCTATTTGCTGAAAATTGTAGAAAAAATAGTTTATCCTGCTGGTGAAATTCTGTGGTTAGGGCTCTACGGGCTGCGTAATAACTCTGAAAAACTAATAAAAAAGTTGCCATGTCAAGAAGGCTTTGAAGGGCATATATCCATCGAAACTGACAACTTATTAAAAACCCTAATATGACACAAAAGAGTTTTTAACTCAATTAATGATAAATTTTAAATTAATCTTTAAAATTGATTTAAGACTTTTAAAGCCCATGAAGAGACGAACAAAATGAGATATGATTTGTCGATTTTCTGAAAATTGATACCTCTAAAATCGATCCACAAAGATAGCAGGAGTACGTATGTTATAGAAAAAAATTCAATTCAAGTTTTTGATAATCAAGATATCCGATTTTCGATTGGAATGTGTCATTTGAAAGTTTAAAAAACAAATTTTATAGCGCGTAAATCTTATGAAAATCCACCAGTCGAATTTTGATAAAATTTAGAAAACTTCTGATCAATTGTTAGTTTTTTTTTAGGCTACGAAGCCAAATTCGACCGTTGGATTTTATAAGATTTATATTTGTCAGCTATTGCAATAGAGAATACAACTATTCACTAGTACCATATGTGCACTCATTAATAATCTTTTTCAACACGTTACAAACTTACAATAACTCAAAATAAATTTAGTGCACAAGCCAATAACACACTACTCCAGTAAATCCGTTTTCATTGCCCGAATAATCCCCCTCAAAATTTCAATCAAGAACTCGTCCACGTATTTTTCTCTATCTTCACAGCAAATGTTTGTGCAACCAGCAAAGGGAATGCAATGGTTGCATCACAATGCACCTGCTTGGATAAAATAACCAAAAGCAATGAATTTAGCAAGAAAAATAACAGCAATTATGCTAAATAAGTAAATAAATAACCTTGACAGTCTTAGCAGAAGCTCGAATTTTTCCCCGACACGGCTTCATCTGGGCGGGCCCCCGAGTCACTTCCGTCGAATTCTTGTGCAGTGTTAATAAAAACGGCATAATCGGCTCCATTTCGCATCATATTCGCATTGCAAATATGATGTTTGGGCAGCCCGCCTCCGAGTATTATCATCCCAGACTTTCTTGGGCCCGCATGGACAGCCTCACCGTTCATTGCTCTAATATCTATGCACATGTAAGACATTTATTTATGTAGAGTCCTAGTCATGCAAATTCAAAAAAAGAGATAATTTTATAGACTGTTATGTGTACCTTGCACGATATCGATCACCAACCCAGGGTTTTTGTATGAGTGGAAGTACAACATGTCTCCGAGTGAACCATCTGTTAAGCCGGGGCAGAAAACCGGGATATTGTTCTGCAGGGGGAATTCTCATATTATCGAAATATTACATGTCAAAAAGCTCAATTGCAACTTAAAGCATAACTTGGTCTCCCCCATAAGTGAAGTCTGATAGATTTAAATCCAATAATTCATCAAATGGTCTTTTTATCATCATACAGGCCTGTGTAATCGTTGAGATTACTGAGGATCGTTTTCGTTAATTAATATCAATTATAGAGTCGATTAAGCCCCCAAGCATTGGATAATTGATAAAGTTTAGAAAGTGAATATCCCCTGGTAACAAGCTATTTACCATTTACTTCTCCAACTTTCAGGTTAGAAATATTTTATCAAAAAAATATGCTTTCATTTGAAAACCATTCTTATGAATAGAAATGAAACAAAATAGCTCCTTTGATTTAAAAGAATGTGTGACTGTCATAATATCGCACATCTAATCACACCATTCAGTCAATCACGCTTACTGAAATCCAGCGATAAACATTGTTCAATCATATGCAATGATGAAGCACAACTTCTTTTTTTCCAACAACTTGAGAGCCTAAATTATTAANACAAAAAAACAACAACAACAACAACAACAACAAATGGGTAAAGTAAAACGAAACCTTTTATTTATATTAAAAAATATTCCTTTGATAATAAAAAATCAGGGAGTTTAAGAAACAAATGACCTAAGTGGTTGAATATTCTAATTTCGAATAAAACCTTCAACTAAATTGGCATCGCTGAGGCTTGTTACTGTAAAGTGTGATGTACAAAGTGATCAGAACTACATGAAAATTTGAGCTATAACATGTACCTTGAATGCCCAGTACAGGTATGAACTCTTATTATTGATTTCTTTCCCCAGGCGAGCAATTACTTTAGATGGTGTCCACAGTAAATTCTGCAACATAAACTTAAAGAAATAAGACAAGAATCCAAGTTGAACTCCTTCAGTTGAAGGAATATATACAGCAAAGCCTAAACAATTTATGTGGATTTATAAGTAAAAATGTCTGAAAATCCATAAATGTCTAATCGGTTCTGGGAAAGAACAAAGAAGATTTTGTGTTATGGAACACTATCTTCACTTTTCTTTTCTAAAACTTCCCGATTTTTATCTCTCTAATACTCAAGGGTGGCCGAGAGTTCAAGGGAGAATTGTTAACGAGCGCTCACCAACAGTTCTTAGTTATGAAACTAAGAGTGTCTTCGAAATGATATGGGATACCATACCCAAGAGAATAAACCGGCCGAGTAGGCCAAGTGAACCATCTGGTCGAGCAGAACCAGAGGAAAGTGGCCATGGTCGAGCATCACAAGACTAAGAGTCTTTCACAGGGGAAACAGCATAAAGGGTTCAAGATGACAACATGAGGTCAAGCGGAGATCCTCGATTGGCCTGGTGAAAACTCTAATTGTAGGCACGTCTGGTCCTGGGATCGACCAGAGGGGGCTACAGAGTCCAAAGCGGTCAGAACTCTACCTTGGCAGATTTTAACCTGATCACGCTACCACGAGGTCTAATCACGAACAATCCAATGAATATTGTGGTAATTGATACTGCACATGAGCATACACATGTGGCACCATCAGATTAGTACACAAACTGCATGATATATGGTCACTAGGTTACTCGACTTAACAAATTTTACTTTTCAGATACTAGACCAGAACTAAAACGTGTGATCTTTTTTTCACAGCAAGATTTAATAATCTCATCCATACTAATTTGAGAAGATATAAATTGCCATGTTATAGGTCAACTAACATCGCAATTAAGTACTTAATTATCCAAATAAAAAATCAAGTGAAATATCATACCAAATAAGATTGAATACCTGTGACTTTTGCTCCTCTAACATCTGACCAAAAATTGGGATTATCCAATCCTCAAACTTACAGTAATTGTCATTAGGAACCAACAAGTTACCAATGCGGTTCAGACCTTTCGACCT